ATGAACAATTATCGGGCGAAACTCAGGATAAGGCAGAATATTGTTGGTAGTGATAGAAGTGAAAATCAAAATGGAATCTAATAAATTTAAAAAGAACGTACGTTACTTGCAAGTTATAAAATAGATGTAAATTTAACAATTTCAGCAACACACAAAATAGAGCTTCTGCACGAGCGTTTGTGCGGTTTTTCACTTGTCAAAATTTTCCTTTTCGTTTGGCACAGCCAGATACTATTTATTTGTACACCGTAGCAAATTTTCCCCACCGTCTCACCATGGATAAAAGTTACCGGTTGGCACACATACTATATCGGAATATCGATAATGTTTCCACCAGAATGTTTTAGTACAAAGGGAATAGCTGTCAAAGTACCAAGTTATCGCAATAGATGCCGAGATATAAGCCCTGATATGTATTGTGCCCCCACATTCCAACAGATGTGTCAAGTTATAAATTCCATCCTGTGAAGACGGCAGTTACAGACAGCTGTCACCAACTATCACTAGCCTCCGCTGGTAAACTTTTATTAACCAAAAAAAAGTAGGCGAACAGACCTAAGGAACTAGTGACAATTAGCGACACCCGTCCCGAGGGAACACAGCTATCGCAAAATGGCAGACATTCCATGCAGTTTTGGTGTTGCCATACGCTCTAGAAATTTATCAGATGGTGAAATTTATGGCAAGCTACCGGGTGCGCTATACGCCGAAGAATAAAGTATTTATATTTTGTGCGGCGAACAGTAACCCATAACAACATATACATACTGACCGATCTCTCGCAGCTCTCTCCACCGACAAATATGCTACGACGTCACAGCCATGTTCCTCTCTCGAATTTGACATCAATCAGCGCAATCTTTTATTCTATCGGTCTTGGGTCGTGATCCTGAGCTGGATATCCCAGGAAAATTACTGTTGTTTTAGCATTTGCGTGCAAAATTTTTGTCCGGATCCCGAACACTGCCTTAGGTTGCAGACAGAGTGGAAGCGAAGCCGAATATGAAGATGAAGAAAAACAGTGCAGTAGTAAACATGTGAAAGTGATCACAGTGCAAGCGAAGACGAAAATGAAGACGTTGCGCAAGCGGTCAACTTGAAACTGTGCGGTACTGTTTTCAAAGACTAATTGCTTGCTGTGATGAGTTGTTTACAATTTATCTAACTGTTTGCAATTGTGAAATAACGCGTTTTTCAAGAAATTGGCTAAATTTTTGGCAAAATGTAATTAAACGCATTAATTGGCATTTTTGTATATTCGAAAAATGTCTGTCCATCTTGCCGTAACACATAATAAAAGTAGCGAAATTCAGACAGAGATAACCCAGGAAAAGAACTGTTATTTCAGCATTTGCGTGCAAATTTTTTTTCGGGATCCCGAACACTGCCTTATTTTGCAGACAGAGTGGAAGCGAAGCCGAAGATGAAGATGACGACGGAATATGCATGCTGATGCTGAAAAATGTTGGTCCTGCGGGAGTAGCGTACCTAACGGAGGTACTCAATTTGTCTATGGCCACTCTCATCATCCTGGAAGGTGGGGAGAGTGGTCCCACTGCTCAAACCGGGGAAACCTGCCAACAAAGGAGATTCCTATCGGCCGATAACACTCCTTCCCCCGGTAACGAAGACACTCGAGGCCCTGCTGCTCCCGTATTTCACAAACCACTTGACCCCAGCGAAGCATCAGCATGGTTTCCGTAAAGTGCACAGTACAACAACAGCACTTAACGACATAAACACTCAGATAACTCGTGGCCTTAACCGAAACCGTCCCTGTGAGAGAACGATTCTAGTAGCGTTGGACTTGTCAAAGGCGTTTGACACCGTCTGCCATTCCACGCTACTAGAAGATATAGAGGCTTCCTCTCTCCCACAGAGGCTCAAACGGTGGTCGGCAAATTATCTGAGTGGTCGACACTCGTCGGTAATGTTTAGAGACAAATCGAGTAAACTTAGAAAAATGAAACAGGGGGTTCCACAGGGTGGTGTCCTTTCCCCGCTACTATTTAACTTTTACATTTCAAAGCTCCCTCAACCACCAGAGGGAGTCCGATTGTCTCTTACGCCGACGATTGCTCGATCATGGCGACTGGGAATGGAATGACCTGTCTTCGAAAGTAAACGGATATCTCTCCGAACTTTCTCGCTTCTTCACTGCAAAGTGTCTAGCCCTCTCCCCAACGAAATCCTCTGCGACCCTGTTCACAACCTGGACGAAGGAGGTCAGGCTACCGCTGGGAATTCACGTCGATGACACACCAATTCCGACGGTGAATAATCCCAAAATACTCGGAGTAACATTCGACAGCCTGCTCTCCTTCTCTGCGCACGCAATCGCTATTGTCAATAAAGTACAGAGCCGCAACAAGGTCCTCAAGTCGCTAGCGGGCAGTATTTGGGGCAAAGACAAAGAAACGTTGCTGGCAACATACAAGGCAATAGGCCGGCCGGTTTTAAACTACGCAGCGCCAGTGTGGTCGCCGGGTACTAGTAGGACGCAGTGGACGAAGCTACAGACTGTACAGAACACCGCACTCAGGACAGCGACAGGATGCCTCCTGATGTCGCCCGAACATCACCTCCACAACGAGGCACAAATGCTCCCCATAAAGGAGCACAACATAATGCTCTGCAAGCAGTTCCTGATCGGGAGCCACAGAAGTGGCCACCCAAACAGACAGCTGGTTGCAGAGGAGCCCTCGCCTAGACACGTCAGGAGGCATCTATATGAACTGACGGACGAAGTCCAGAGGTTCATAAAGCAACCGGACATAGACGAGACGGAGCTTCATCTGCCTCGGGAGACACGAACGACAATAGCCCAACTACGCTCTGGCTACTGCAGTAGGTTAAACTTCTACCTGAGTAGATTGAATGAGGATGTGCCAAATGAGTGCCCGGCATGCGGAGAGACCCCACATGACTCGAAACATCTCTTCGCATGCCCGGAAAACCCGACAACCCTAACGGCTTTGTCCTTGTGGACCGACCCGATAGAAGCTGCACGCTCCCTAGAGCTGCCGTTAGTGGAACTTGACGACAACGACTGAGATATCAACCGATCTGGGCGGGGCCGCTACAACAACAACAACAACAACATGAAGATGACGAAAAACATTGCAGTAGTAAACATGTGAAAGTGATCACTTTAACTGAGGCTCAATTCCCGTTCTGCCTTATCGTGAAGTGATAAAATTAACACCTGCACACCGCATTTATTTCGGTGTTAATTTTATACTTTTCACTTCATTTCACGATAACGCAGAATGGGAATTGACCCTCTGTGCGGTACTGTTTTCAAAGACTAATCGCTTGCTGTGATGAGTTGTTTACAATTTATTTAACTGTTTGCAATTGTGAAACAACGCGTTTTTCAAGAAATTGGCTAAATTTTTTGCAAAATGTAATTAAACGTATTAATTGGCATTCTTGTATATTCGAAAAATGTCTGTCCGTCTTGCCGTAACACATAATAAAAGTGGCGAAATTCTCCAAAAGTTTTCCTATACAAATTTATTTCATGAACTTCTGTTTTTTCTTTATTTTCTTTTGATTTTTTCTAAAAAAAAAGGTTTTATTTAGAAACAAATCTTCATTTCATTCATCTTCCACTATGTGCACTCGCCAGCATTGGCGCAACGCAAACAATTCGTCTTCGGCTCCGGCTCCGTCTTCATCTTCATGTTGTTGTTGTTGTTGTAGCAGAATACAAATTCCCCAAAGAATTTTTGGGGAGTGTTTCTGGAGTGAGAGTCCTTGGCCAGATATAAATCTGGGTCGTTCCGGTTACGTAGACCCGACTGTCGTGGGAACGTTCTTCATCTTCATCTTCGGCTTCGCTTCCACTCTGTTTGCAACCTAAGAAAACAGTTTGTGCGTTTTGGGTTCTCTATAGTTGTGTTTAATGAGCTGCTCTAGCTTACGCCAGGTTAAGATATCTCACAAACTTGTGTTTCATGAGGATTTTTCTTACTCTAACTTACTCTACTTTTTGTTTCATGAGCCTGCGCTAAGTGGAACTACACCTTTTCCAAGAGTACTTCAGAAAGCGTCAAATGTATTTCAGAAACTGTAAAATGTACTTCAGAATAGTCAATTGTACTTCAGGAAACGTAAAATGTACTTCAGAATGGTCAATTGTACTTCAGAAACCGTAAAATGTATTTCAGAACAGTGAACTGTACTTCAGAATAGTCAATTGTACTTCAGAAACCGTAAAATGTTCTTCAGAATAGTCAATTGTACTTCGGAAACCGTAAAATGTACTTCAGAATAGTCAATTGTACTTCAGAAACCGTAAATTGTACTTCAGAAACCGTAAATTGTACTTCAGAAATCGTAAAATGTACTTCAGAAGACGAAAATTCGTACACATTGTAATTATTTAAATAGTATATAATTATAGTGATTTTAAATATATTTACTTTTTAATATATTTTTCAAATTACAAGTAAATTAAACATATAAATTTAAAACCACATTTATATTTTAAAATAATTTGTGGTTTTACGGTAAAAAATACATGACCAGTAATAACTTGTCTGCAAATCGGACAAGTCCCAGATCCCCAGACCCAGAGACACAATCTCCCTTGAACATAACGCATGTAACAAATGTTTGCACGGTAAAATGCGGACTATAGTCTTCCGCTTCATGCTGATTTGGCAAATCACGCATTTATCTTGCACCTCCATTTCTTAGATCTTCTTATTCAGTTTAATTATTAAAAAAAAAAATAATAATTGCCTTAGGTGCGATAAATCACAATCGAATGAAAATTACAAGATGTTGAACTTGATTATTTTTTCAATAAGAAAATGTTAATATTAACAAGTAAAATTAATGTAAAGTACGTAGTTTGCCATATCAGCATAAAGCGGAAGGCTATATATTTGTTCATAGTCCGAATTTTACCGTGCAAGCATTTACTACATGGAGTATGTACAAGCGACATTATTATTTGGTCCGGGCGTTGACGAGGGAAAAGCGACAGTTGTTGGTGGAGATTGTGGCATAGCGATTCAACATTATACCAGTTTTCATCCATGCAGATGCACTATCTTTATACGACCTGGCAGTTGGAACATAATTTAGTCTGCATTAATTTAATTGTTTCATTCTTAAATATATAGTACATAGACATTGCGAACAAACTGCTTCTATGGACTTGTAATTTGGAAAATATATTAAAAAAAGAAACATATTTAAAAATACTATTTTATATACCATTTAAATAATTACAATATGTATGTAGTAACTTTCGTCTTCTGAAGTAAATTTTACGGTTTCTGAAGTACAATTTACGGTTCCTGAAGTACAATTGACTATTCTGAAGTACATTTTACGGTTTCTGAAGTACAATTGACTATTCTGAAAGACTTTTTACAGTTTCTGAAGTACAATTGACTATTCTGAAGAAAACTTTACAGTTTCTGAAATACTTTTTACGGTTTCTGAAGTACAATTGACTATCCTGAATTACATTTTACTTTTTCTGAAGTACAATTTACTATTCTGAAGTATTTGATGCTTTCTGAAGTACTCTTGGAAAAGGTGTGGAGCAACTTAGAGCACGATTTTCTGCACCATCTTTTATGATGGAGTAACTTAGAGCAAGCAAACACACACACACACTTTACAATTGATGAATTGAACTGTCGAGCAATCAACTGTTTTGAGAATTTCTGCCTGAAAAGTGTTTCATGAGATTTATGATCTGCGTTGCTGTAATCTGCTCTATTGTTTTTTTAACAGCTGCTCTGTTCTGATCTAACTTGAGCTGCTCTGCACTTTTTTCAGTTTCATTAAACACAACTTATATTTTGCGGTATTTCCATAAGGGTTAATTTCGATAATTATGCCGATGAAAAGTGGGAGTAGAGGGGAGTAGGCAACTCTAAAAAATCGAATATACACTGGCTCAAACGTGGTGTGCTGAGATTGTTCCAGTAGGCTTCGAATTTTTAAGCATTTATCGGGTGTTTATTTGCTGCACGTTTTAGTGCACTGTCATTGGCATTTAATAATTTTAACTGGACATTTGGAATCTTATTAAACAGGACATAAAACAAAGTAAGTGGAATAAATCATTTTACAAGAATTACGTAATTTTACCGGTGAATGCCGAGAACATTCTGTTAAGATATCAGTGGCCATCACGGTGATTTTTTTTTTTTGGAAATCGTATAATTTGGTAACTAGCCGAAGGCCCCAATGGGTTATGCGGTTGGGGACGATCTGAAAAAATACGGTTCACGTTTTTATATGTGTTTGATGTATTTGGTATGTAGTTTTTTTCATATATTAGGCATGTATATGCTGGTAAAAAAAAAGCATATAATACTAATTTTTTGTTAAGGTGTGTATACATGCCACAAAGCATGTTTTTATATGTGTTTTATGAACATGATTCGGTAATAAATTAATAATAATTGAATCCAGTTTTATGAAAACCTTGCTTCGAAGATCGGTATTTCACTGCGGATCGAAGGTGACGTAAGTTAAAAATACTTAAGAAATCTATCGATATAAAGTAAAACCCGCTTAAGTACCTCACGAAAAATGTCAGCTTTTTGGTACTTGTTGCCGTCCCTGAATTGGTGCGTCAAGCGCCAATCAACTCAAAATCCTCATGCTCTTACAATTTGTATGGGTCATACCTACGGGGACCATCCGTTCCGTTTTTTGCAGGACCGTACTGTTATTTAAAGGTCTGTCCAGCGTAGTTTTTCAAAACAGAAAACCCCCAAAATGTACTGATTTGTTCCAAGTGTCTCCCTTTGTCCCGCATTTTCTTCGATATTTAAAAATTAACTTTTCCTAATCGAAATAAAAGCTGGTTTTGAAGGTTCAACTAGTCAATGCGTTCTAAATATTGTACGGTTATGGACAATGGATGACGAGAAATTGAAGACCAGCATCAAATATATCGATAACACTGTTCTAAAACTTTTGTGGTAATCGCTTAAGAAACAAAAATATTTTAAGCCAATTTTCCTTTCAAACAAGCGTTTTCGTAATTTTTTCGAAAAACGTGTTTTTTGGTACATTTCGAACCTATTCGTCTATATCTCATAAAAAAATTATCCAATCAACAAAGCGACCTACAGTCCTCTTACAAAAATATATTACTTTGCCGATTTCGATGAAAATTATTAGTGTTACAAGCGACCAAAATCGAAAAATTGAAATTTCAATCATTTTCTTTTTACAGTAAATGAAAATCTGATGAGAAATGTAGATGTTACGGAACACAATCTGCACAAAAAATATATATTTTTGCACATAGTCTTACAATACCATTCGAACTGTTGGTCGTTTCATGAGATATTGAGGAATAACTGGAAAATTACTAACACTTCTTTGAAACCATGGGTATTTTTTTGTGTAAAGTAGTATGTAATATACCTTATTATAATATTGTAGATATTCATTACTAAAAGATTAATACCAATGAAGCAAATGTGATTTATGTTCAAAGTTTAAAATTGGATTAATAATTAAGAAATATACACTTCGTTATTTGAATAGCGCATCTTTTTAATACTTAGTAGGTACAGTTTTCCTTTTGTTTGTTCAATATTCATTAGCTTTTTATAAAAATATAGCATAATCTACGTCTACATCCCATTTTAAAAATTTTTGAAAATTAAAAAAAAATAAACATAGGGGCGACAGTTTTTTTTGACGGTGCTGCGCATTTTCTTCCATATAAAAATTTTGTCAAGCATACTTTGTATAGTAGAAAATCAAAAAAATGGTGCGCTATTCAAATGACGAGAAATGTATACATATATGTAGTATATTTTTGTTATTTTTATACTACGGAATTATATGTAGGTAAATTTGATAAAAAATTGTCCTGCATTTTCAAAATATATTTATGGTCACCGTAGTCATACCACAATAACGCGGCGGGGTTGGCTTTTCATTACATCGGTTTTTGGCTATTTTCACAAAATTGTCACGAATTTCGTCATGAAACTTGGCGGGGGTGTTAAGAATCGTATATATTTACATTATTTATCACTCTTTTCACTTTATTAGTAATAGTATTTAACTAATTCGTTGGTAAATTCCTTGCATTTTCACTAGCAAAGTTTCATATGAAAAAGAGCACTTAACACTTATATTTTTATAAATATATGATCTTTGAAATGTTCACGTGTATTTTGTGTACATTAACCGCCCAAGGGTTGGATTCCAAAACGGAACCAATTTCAGCGAATGTATAAAAAGGTGTTCGCACGAGGCGATTTTGGGTTCAACTTTTGCTTTCAACTCACGCAGGTTTGCACGAAAAAAAAGTTGAATGGCTAAATGTTCGCTGGCGACCAACTTTGTTGAAAGCGATTAGTTGAAAGGCCGTTCAACCAAAAGTAGAATGCAAAGTTGAACAATGCAAACGCATTTTTATGGCGAATATATTGATATATTTTTATATTTTTAGCTATTCAATTTTTTTTTCGTGCAACCCTGCGTGAGTTGAACGCAAAAGTTGCCTGGAAAATCGCCTCGTGCGAAAGCCTCCTTATAGGGCTCGATATGAAACTTGGTGAGGATGTTGGGGGAGGCTTTCTCTACATTAGGGATGCCCAAATCAGCACATGTGTGTCGCGGACGACTGCGCGTGCAAAGCTTTGCACAGCGGTGCTAGGCAAGCGCGGAAGCAAAAAGTTATCGGAAGGGGAAAACGAAGTCAGCAGAATAGTGAGATTGTATGTGTGACCAGTGTTGCCAAGTCTTCGGCATGAGAAAACGTCCCTCTTGGTCTGAAAAAACGTCATTTTCTACCCAAAAACGTCTTTTTCAAATGAATGTATGTACAAAAAATTCGTCTTGCTAAACTTTTATTGCATACAAAGGTACATAGATATGTACGTAAGGTATATTAAAATGTCATTTCGACAGAGCACATTTAAAATTCATTGTAAACTGGTTTGAGATCGTTAATATAAAAATCATTTTATACATATACTTGTGACCAGCTGATTAAGTCAACAACATTTCGATCGATTTTGGCTGTTTCTCTTTTGTTTATTATTTTTCCATAAAAGCCAAGCTCATTATATAAAAAACAAAATTTAAATCCTCATTTCAAACTTTGTGCAAAAGTTATAAAAAATCTGTAAAGTTTCAGCTAGATTCTCAACTTTTTATTCATATTTTTTAGATTTTTTTTGAGTATGCAGTTTGATAGCGCATTAAATTTCAGGGCAATAATGTGCAAGTTTGAATGGGCTAAATAATCGCGTAGATTTTTAATAATTATTTTTTTTTTGTAGGCATTTGGTTAGGGGGTCGGTTGTCGAAAATGCTAAATTACGTTCTGCTAAGAAGGAGCATAGCAATATTTAAGCCTTTTTTGCGTTCGTTACATTTTCAATGAAGTCTTAAAAAAGTCGCCTAGTGTTTCTGACTTTTTATGCCGCTACAGCTTTTTTGATGCTTTTGCGAGCGTGCGTGTTGCAATAGATCAGCTTTTCCTGATTTGGCTTTTAATGTGCCTATTGCAAATATTACAATAAGCCTCGTAACCTCAAGTGTTTACCCAACCAGCCTTTGAACACGGGATCCTTAGTCCAAGATAAAAAAAAGTGCGCGTACGCTTGGTTTGCATCATATTAAAGTCATCTGTGTCCAAAGAATAAATATCTTTTGAAGCAGCTGCTGCAAAACACAAAGCTTGTAAAGATTTTTTAAGAAAGTAATTCAAAATCAGTTCTACTTAAAAGACCCTTACCGTCAAAAAGAAAAATTACTGGGAAGTTAAAAAACGTAATTTTTACACAAAAAACGTCCAAACGTCAACGGGATACAAAAAGCGTCCAAATGACGTTAAAAACGTCAACCTGGCAACCTGTGTGTGACAGTGATGGAAAATGAGTGTACATTGTGCCATTTTCGGCCCTTTCGGAAGCAGCCGGCACCTTCAGCACAATCGATTGATTTTCGGCACTATTTTTGCGTAACTCAATGCAACTAATAAATATTTCTTTTGGATCCGCAATTAAAAATATTTTTTTTTTTACATTTAATCGTATGTGCTTAAACTGATAAATGATAAAAACATAGAAACGCAAGTAGAAGAATCTCGATTCCACATTCTGCATATGCGCTTAAAATTTTTGTTTAAACAAATTTGTCGAAATTTCATCTAAAGCAAATATTAAATATCATTTAATATATACTTTAGATTTGAATAATCATTTTTAGTGATGGGCGAGTCCGAGATGTTTAAATGATCGAGATAGTACATTCAATTCGCGTAGGTTTTTGAGAATTTTTTTCGTTGAAGGTGTTGCACTTTTTCTTCCATACTGAAATTTTTGTACATCCAATTTGTATAAAGAAAATGCAAAAAATATTAAAAATCAACATGAATTCTTAGCCGAACTTTCACTTTATAATACTAAAATTGAATGGACCATAATAGCTCAGTTAGTCAACGACGTAGCGTAAACGTAGGTTGACGTACGTAGCAGCATATCAAATTTACTGTTGATAGAGAGAGAGAAAAGCAACGACAACGTCACCGCCATGCGGTGGTGAGTTTTCGTTAACACGCGAATCCCATAAGATAGATCGTGTCTGCGTCAACCTACGTCTACGCTACGTCGTTGACTGTTTGCGCTTTAAAACTGCATACCGTCAGTTGGTGTCGAACATTCATGCCTCAGTAAACTAATCAAAATCTTTCAAATAGAGTTATCTGTTCTTCTTTAGTTTCCGACATATTCAGCTTTATCATGAGTTTCATTTTCTAGAACCGGGTCACTTTTTACTTTTCGTTCACTACAGGTGGATGAAAAAACTGTTGGCGAAATTTGGTTCGGGCGAAACTCACGATTAGGCTGATTAGTAAAAAGTATCGTTAATTTATAAAAATTGTTATCACATTTTGGCGTATATCATTGAAACTGACTGCAAATTTTTTGACAAATATCGTATTCGACAAAATTTTATTAAACTCATAAATGGTTGACACTAAACTAAAAAAATAAAACAATTTAAGAATTTCATGAACTAGTACATAGCATTCTCCGATACTTTGGAGAAAATCTGTAGTCTAG